CGGCGTAAAACCAAACTCAGTCAGTCAGTCAGTCCTATATAAATCTTGAATTGAACACGCTAACACGACATGGTAACATAGATATACTTTAGAAGAGATATTTCTCATAAATATATTCTATGTAGAATAATCTTGATATGTAACTATCCATTAACTACAGTTAATGTTCATGATCTATCAATTGAGTTTTCAAATCCCGAACATATCTTGTATTATTGACGGCTCCATTATATGTTAAAATCCTACCGGTGACCAATGTTGACATGTAACATCCATTAACAATGTAGTGATCCGGTGTTTGTCAAATGCTTTCAGTTGAGTTATAGAAAGTTCAATATTTATGATATTGTTCAAGGCTCCATTACAGAGTATACAATCAACGCATTACGTCTCTGTAACGCTAATCAATGACTCAACGCCTCCACAGATGGCGCAAGCGTTACGTTATCTCTCGCTGAAATAACCGAGTGTCCTTCAGCGTCTGAAGAGGGGAGAAAGTAAACAAGAGACAATCGTCAGCAGCGCCAGCTAGTAGTTCTGCCACCGTCGTGCACGGCAGGACGACACCATCGTGACTGCAAACTGCTGCGTGGTTGTGGAATTACATTTGACCGTAGTGAACCTTTGTGTAACTTGTCATTAACGCAGGTTATCAATTATGTGTTTCTTAAAGAAACACCTTGTTCTATATCTTTGTGTCCAAAGGGTCTCATGCATATGCCGTACATCAGGCAAAGTAACGCAACGTTGGTGAACGAGTGTAGCTGGTTAGGTGAGCGTGTCACCTCCCCACAGTTTCCAGACAATGTCTCTCCCACTCTGAAACTCCTGGTACGCGTGGGATCCCCTTAGTCAAATGACTCACCCAGTAGTGAATGGGTACTCGGTAGGTGAGGCTGTTTGGGTTGAATTCTCCCCGGGGAGTTGATAATACTTTCGACTGATTCACCGACCGTTTATGTAGTGATATGAGCCTGCATCTGAGGGTAGATTCAACTTCATCATCGTCGTCGTTTTTGTGTAATTGAAAATTGAAAGAACTGTTGTTAAAATACACAGCGTCTGTTAAACAATTACTCACTCAAACCAATGCTTTTAGCAATATTGATCTTTTTCATAAACGTATCTTTCATTAGTTAGGTTAGGTATTTTCCAAGCTGTTATCAACCGCGTTTTGTGTTCAAGTAACAGCGGCAAAGCTCTTTCTGGAGTGATATTTATTTAGGGTTGGCTTTAGATGCTTTTGTAGTATATGCGCGTGGGAATGGTTTTAGGCCGTTTTCAGCAATATTTGAGCAATACCACGGCGGGGTGGGGATGGGGTGGTGGGTGGGACACCAGAAATGGGCTCCACAAATTGTAGTCGTTTGGGGAATCGTTTCCGGGTGTTCGGCGTGACGGTTTGTACGAGATGTCACGCTTTCAACCGATTATCCGAGTATACATTGTTCTTAGAGTATAGGTTTAGTACCTTCCAACCTCGTGGTATTTGGAGAGTGCACAGGTTTGTCACCAGAACCACAGCCCTTCCGACCCTCTGGGTGAAGGCTGCAGTGTTGGGGAGTCTACACATTCTCCGAAAAGATCCTGGTGGGTCAGCCTAGTTCCATCTGTTGGCTGGGGTAAACGGGGGATGGTACGTTAACTGATGATGATGATGAGCCTAACCAGCAGGACTGTACCGGGATCACCACAAACCTCTACATTTATTATTTCAATTCTATTTTTAAATGAAATGTTTATAATTATATCAGTAAATACTAATCACCATCATCAATATGATACCAGACGAATGCTCGTGGCCGCTACATTAGACGGGCCCTGGAATACTGCTAGAATCTCAAACACCCACCCACTTTATAGGATGTAAAAACGATACATGAAGCAACGGAAAGCCACCGACGTGAACCCTTTGATGATAACAATTTTTCAATAAACACAAAACCTCCATTCCCACAAATGTCTCTCATCTGGCGCCCCTCTCAGAGAGATCTGGCCTGGCGATAAGACACAGCGAGGAGAGTAGCCCGCTGTCTCCCCCATCCCCAGTGTTTGAGGAGCACTCGAGACCTTCTCTCTTCCCATACCAGAGATGTTTCAGCTCCTTCAGCCCAGGGACTGGACTTCTCAGCGCGTCACAGGGCTGATAAATGTATTGATAGTGTGACTCATATAGTGTCACCTCTCAGTGGAAAACTCCTTGCCTATCACCAAACTCATTTGTGACGAAATAAACTGAATTGTTGTAATTGTTCTTTGTTCGTACAGAAATTGGATATCAAATTGAGACATAATAAACTGTGTATTCTGAAATAAACATGGATTTAATCAAATGTATATGAAATGAAAGAAATGGAGTTAGGAGTTTGAACACATAGTATATTTCTGTAAACGCGATTTGACTTCTCAAAACTTCACCCTTCATACCCAAATGGGAGGACGTTTTCGGTTCAATGTCTGATCAGAAATAAGTACGCCATGACGTCACGAAGAAGGAGCAGCAATTACCGCTGTCATATCTATAACATCACTAAAGACGTCGATGTCTTATTCATTTTTTCTACTGATGTACTTGTCCCGTTCGAGTCCAACTCACGATGACTTTTAATTTATCAGCAATGTGCTCATGAAAATTGGTTGTATCATCTGCATCACTGTCCAGCCTACCACTTCACCCTGATGTGAGGCGCTCTATGTTACAAACTGTTCTCCCGTGTAACTCAAGGCAGGGCTCCAGGTAAGGGTCGTATCGGCGTATGTACGGATAAAAAATATGCACGATACGGAAGGACATGTTTTGGAAAAAGTAGCAGATACGCACCACAGCAATGGTGTACGGTCTTAGAATCATTTACAGTCGTATTTATCTGAAAAAGTATTGTGTTATTGTCCATTGACCTGTTAAGACAAGAGTGGCATTGTTGTGGTGCATATATGAAACGAAACACAAGATTACTGATACTCCATTAAATTCCATTCAGTACTCTAAATGTACTCTTAAAGTTTTCCAGTACTCTTATTGAAAAAATAAGGAGTACGTACTCCTGATGTTGAAAAATTATCTGGAGCCCTATCAAGGTACACTGGCACATGTGAATAGTCAGATCTTCACAGATTAAGTAACACGACGGTCTTAACTCACTTGTGAATTCATACGTTTCAGTATAACGTCTCTATTGTTAGAGAATGAAACACGGCTTTGAATAACCCACCCAAGCGAAATGAACGCAACCCACAGAAAGGTGATGCAGTTCTATAAAGTACAGGATCAATATAATTCTATGTCACATTGCAGCTCTTTCAATTCTCATAAAATTCATGTATTCAGTATCGCAACACATCAAATTAAATTCAGTAGCATGTTTAATACAGAAAAGCAGGTGGGTTAAAAGGCAAAAATGTTTCTTGTCACATTCAATGAAACGCCGACTGCAACAATCAAAACTCATATGAACGCTGCCTTTCTATGAACATAATAACTCCATTGAGGCGATGTGTAGAATGAAGGCTGCTAAGCTGGTCACATGTTGCACAAGAACCATTGCCGATGTGAGGTGAGCGAGCGCCATCAACCGAGGATCATCACTCTGTGCGATGTTATCAAGATGGTTTCCGTTTCTGTAGAACAAGACTCTTATTTGATTCGTTGGTTAAAAATAGCGTGAAGTATTGTTTGTGTTTTTTGTTTGTTGTTCCATTCCGCACCCCGTGACTGACACCATCAGACATTGGTCTACACAAATGGGATACGATCACATTCATCAATCAAGTAAGCCCGTCTCACCACGCGATCCTCTTGCTAGTCACGATACGCATGGTTGGTGAAAACCGATCGTAACCCGGATCTTCACGTCCAGTCTAGTAGTGACTTTGAGAAAATGTAGAATTACTTTTTTGTACCGTTAACTTGTGTCCGAGTTACTGAAACACCGTTCTGGTCAAACACGGTGACCAAGTTGTGATTCATGAGGTCAGTGCGATCAGCCGGTTATATGTGATTAAGTTAAATTCAGAAAACACCACCCTGCTAACAAGACGTATTTGTAAATTGTGTTTATATTCATGTAAAATAAGGAAACGAAAACCAAGATGTGGTTAAAAAAAGTAACTCACATGTTCCTTGCCATCTGCTTGAAGACGAAACCCAAACCGAAGTTGATAGCATGACCACGAGATAGACACATGCACCATTCACCAGATATAGCCCTTTTAACATTACTTTTCAATGTAACATAAACACAGAGTCTATGAGTGAGTGAGTTTAGTTTTACTCCGCTTTTAGCAATATTCCAGCAATATCACGGCGGGGGACACCAGAAATGACTATCGTATATGAGATATAATAACTTACTTGTATGCGGTGTCTCCCTTGTAATGTTGTTACTGTTACTATCTAAATTGTTGCATGATTGAATCAGTAGAAGCGTTGAATGATTGACGATTCAACGTTGAATTATCGCAGATTCAGTAACAGCCTCAGTCCCATAGCCCCAGGGAACGTTGAATGACCTTCATCACAACTGACCCTGACTCTAATGATATTTTCATTAAATCTGATAATTGTAATCAGCGTTTAAAAAACCTTTCTTTCTGGACCCAATTCCAACCTTTTGCGCCTCGAGCTACAGGGGGTAGTCGAATCTGGTTTCGTGGTACGCTGGAATCAAGAGTCGCACATTTCGTTACCTTATCAACGTCGAGTATTGAGAAACAACACTATTATTTTAACTGAATCGCGGATTACAAAACTATGGGCTTTTTATAGTGTTTTAATCTTGAGACACTTTAGAATATATTTTGAAAAGTTCAACTCAAATGTAGTGTGACTGGGTAAATCTAGACTACCTGAGAAATTGTGAAGTGCTCTGGGCCCTGGATGTTATTTCGACAATATCCATTGATGTAAGATATGATAATTCTATTCCTGGGACAAAATGCCATTCTTAAAGTGTGTTTTATTGTCGTTTCCTTTTTAGAAAATAGCTTTCTCTCGTCCTCAGAATGGCCTGAGGAAGAAGATGACCTGGGTGAACGTCCGCCTGACCGCCACGCTGACCAGTCCCAGAAACAATCCCAGGTTGCGGCCACACTCAAATGGTAAGTTGTTGGTTCTTTGTGTCATGCAATGATAGTGTAATCGGTGCGATAAACCAGTCACGGTGAATATGCAAATGAGGTTTTGTAGGAACTGCTTTTATAATCTCAATCAATCGATGTGATGCCCATTTGCCCCACTATAAAATTGTCTTACGTTCAGATATATTTAGATTTAGATTTAGATGGGAGTGTTCATAATATTTGTATAATTCTGTTGACACGGCTTGAACTGTTTGTTGTTTTGCGCTGAATGAGTCAGTAAATCGAGCGAGGTTTTACGTCACATTTAATAATATACGAGCGATATCACGGCGGGAGGACTAAATTATGTTTCATTTATTGTACTTTGTTAAAATATTGACTATAACATGTATTATAACGCATTGACTAAAACGCGACACGCGACAATGCGACAATGACACATTTCATCAAAATATCGCATTGTCGCGTTTTATTAGTTACGCGGAATTTAAAAACTATCACAAGAATGATTATTTTTCGATATTTTTAAAGGGCTGAGATACCCTGGGATCGAACTCAGAACAATGATAAATGAACGTCCATGTGGCCGTGAAGTCTGTGGGTTAAGCTGAAAATTATTATGATTGAGTAGGTGTATGTTTGAAACGATACAAGTACACGTGTATCGCTGGTTATAGTATCGGGTGAGAAAATTATCGATAGATTGTGAATCATTGCATGTCCAGGATTAATTTTATAGGATTCAAATAGAATTGAAAAACAGACATCACAACACATTATTGTAATGAAATACCTTGCTAATTTACCAAGCTCCCTAACCTTGAGTGAGAGTTGAGTGGAGTGGAGTGGAGTGGAGTGGAGCAGAGTCAGTGCAGCGGAGTGGAGTGATAGGAGTGAGTGAGTGAGTGAGTGAGTGAGTGAGGGAGGGTTGGTTTCTGGCACTCCAAGGGTACGCAACTCTGCCAAGCGATTTCATCGTTTTTAATATCATAATGATAACAGTCCTATGTTTGGTATGGAATCCTGGAAAGGACATTGTTGCGTTGTCGCATTGTTCTAGGATTCCATTGAAATGCGACTTGAAAAAAGCCATCTAAAATAAGAAGTCCGGTTATATTTCATCGACTGTGATTTTCGGATATATTGAATTGTGGTGCTGTGTCACAGTTTGATATATAGCACTGGTTATTCAATTCATTCAATTCATCTATTCGGTATTTCGGCCATGTGGCCAGAGTACAATTGATTGTGAGGTGTCCTCCCATTTGTGAGAACTCCCAGTTGTGAGACACATTAATTAATGGTTCAGTGCACACAGGTGGTGCTACCCCATCCCTACGATGAAAGTGGGAACAGCCCTGTTGCTAAAAAGTACCCGCAGGAGGCATAGTTCATTAATGAGCATTAAAGAGCATTTATTGTTTTCAATAAAGAACAAGTTAAATACTGAAATACTGAAAAAGATTATCATTATATTTACACAGAAGAAATAGTTCATTAAATATTTCATTATGATTTTTGATTCACACATTTTGATGATTTGCGTTATTATGATGTTTGTGTGTCATTATAAAACACTTTTTGACATGGGTCCATATTTGGAGATTTTGACACTTTTCATATTGATCACGAAGTTACCTACACAAAGTGTTTATTTTTTAAAGCTATTTACCTGAGTAGGTTAATTACTTTATCTTTTAAGCTACCTCCACAAGATTCAGTTAAATAGCTAATCCCTAATTAGCTGGGGTTAATCCATTCTATCAGATAGGGGAGTAAGGTGTGTTTTCTTTGCTACTTACCTACTCCACTGTCTCACAACTGGGAGTCTCACAACTGGGAGTTCTCACAAATGGGAGTAGACCGATTGTGACGACATAGCCGTAACACGTGACAGGAAGAACATATGTACATCTTCATGATAAGGAAAACACATGTTTCATGAAAATTGCGACAGAAGCTATGGCTTGGATATTTTTTTGTATTGAGAACAGATAGACATTTGTAACTGATACTATGTAAATATTTTGTTCAGAGATCCGCATACCTTTCACATACAAATAATACATGGTACTCACCTGCGAGTACTCATAGATTACAACTTGTGCATACAGCATACAGAATGCACGAATCAAGGTATCATCACTTAGTGCTGATAGGTATAGTACAGGCTGTAATAATGATTTTAAAGCCGAGTAATTCTTTAAAAATGTGGATGTGAAAAGTGAGTCATGCAGGACCTGGGAACATATATCACGGACTCTTTATGTAAAATTACTTATAAATATTTGTATGTTTCCTGCATCTTGCGCTATCCAAACATATGAAAAACCAGTTGTGAAATGTAACTGACGGAAATCTGAAACCCATGTATGTTTACCTTTTCATCAAGTTTTTATGAGGAATAAATAACACTGGTGAGGGTGACGGTGTGATTCCATTCTTCATCATTTTAACCAAAACTTTACAACACGTATTTGAGTAGACACGTGCACCGCGTATTTGCCACAATCCCCCAATATTGCCTTATTTCATGCATACTTGCCAACATTTAGACGTATTCTGAAGTATGTAGTTTGTACCTTTTCTATACATTCATAATACCTAGCCCCCAGATTTCTGAATCATATAGTACTACAGGCATAATTTTACCATCAACAATTTTACAAGCAACTGTAAAGGAAATATGCTTATTCTTGCGAAATAATCTATACATGGAGAAAATTAGTTTACTAGCTTTGAGTGAGATAGTTTGACATGCTTTTGACCACTTCAGTGATGACGAAAACAGAACACCAAGGCAGCTGTACTAGGATACAGTTTTAACATCTGAACTCCCAATGTGCCACTTCTCCCTTCTGCTCACAATTCCACCTTTTCGGAATACAATAACATTCGTTTTCTTCATATTGATTTCAAGTCCCCACTTCTGACAGAATGCATAGACCACATCAAGCTGTTTTTGCAAACCAACCACAGTGTAGGCAAACGTTGAGAAATGATCATCAGCGAACAGTAATAAGAGAATGTCTTCAACGTGCTGAGAAACAAGAACACCTCTTTCACAAGTGTAGGTCTTGAAACCGCATTCTGTATACATCAGTTGGCAAGGATAGTCACATGCAGGGATTGTTTGTCAATAGCTGATGTGATGATGACTAATATGTCTGATATTTGTTCAGACAGCAAACTTTGGATACTTCAAATATTTTTAGCCATTCAGCCATTAATTTGAGATATACCTTTGATGTTTCAAACTGATTGGATTGCTGTGAACAGCGATGTTTGGATGCAGCGATCTGATTCGATTTTCCCGAACCACGTACTTTGATGCACGAAGCAAACGGAGATGATTCTTCAAAGAAAATTCCAGATGTATCCAAATTTTTGCGATGTGCCTGAAAACATATTTCGGTTAAATCAGATTCATTGTGATGGTTTGTTTATGTTCAATTGAGTTTGGATGTTGTTACCATGGGAACTGACACTTGGTTGTATTATTATATTAGGGAGATCGCTTTTGTAACCAAACAGTTCTTCTAGGCGAAACAGCCATCTAAAGTTTCAGCTGCACTGTACTGCCAGGGGGGCAAGGCAGTTATCGACTTTTGACGCTGGTAATCTTCTAGTTTTAAACACACCAATTCATATTTCCAAAGTTTGCAAACTTGTCCCCTTTTAATCCGAGTACTGCAGAGAGATGTCTTTGGGTGGCAACAACAAGTCTCTCTCCTGATAACGTCCCCTTCATCCAGCGTGCCCCCGGGGGGTGGGTACTCTCACATCTTCCACCCGTCTCTATCTCTGTCAGCGAGGTTTACACGCAAACATGCCTGTCACAGGTGGATAGGACCTTGGTGCGTGTCAGGTGTGTGTTTGAGCTTACCGCCCCCAAGGGCGATGTGTCTGTGTATAGTGCGTGACTGAGTGAGGGATGTATATGTACATACAACATAGGAATAAGAAAATGTCCAGCATTGTGATATCAAACGATATAAGTTCTTTTAATTTAATTTTTACCATATTTGATTTCATCAAAACCAGTATTTAGATACACAGTAATTGTCAGGGTATAAATGAAAAAAATAGTATTTGATGTAGCTGACCAAGGTACACAACAAAACAACATTATTAGCCAACGTGATCATAGCTTTCAGAATATAGTTAATGCAATGATGAAAATGTGCGGCATAATGACAACGTTAAGTGTGAATTAGAAATGTGAATGAGAACAATACCATGAGTGAGTGAGTATCGTTTTACGCCGCTTTAACATTATTTCAGTAATATCACAGCCAAATATTATTCTCTTTGTCACCTGAAACAGCATTCCAAAATTTCAAACATTTCAACTCGCTTTTTCGGAATACATTACACACTGAACCTAATGCATTGAATGACATAAAACTATATGTGTCGATGCCAAGCGAAAATGACAAATTTTGAGTAAGTACTCCATGTCTGAAAGGTGTATTTTAAGCCTTTGTTTCACTGAACCCCCTCTGAATATATCCATTCTTAAGTATATACAAAATACCCCACAATCGATGGATCATACGTTAGAACTCGCATGCTTTTATTTCTATTGATTGTAAAATTATCATTCTTCAACAGGTAATACATTCATATTGTATGATATCAGACAGTCATATGGTGATGTTATCACTGGAATAGCTATCAAATTGTTATTAGTTCCACAATACAGTGTGCATATTTTCACATATTTGATATTGCTGTTATAAAGCGAATGTGTTATTTTCTTTTATGTTTTCATATTCTAATATGAACATCGCGTAATGTCAAATCATATTGTGTTTTTCAACATTAAATGTGTTTATTCTAAAATAAATGTAGCTTAACACAACCTGATTTTCGAGCAATTCGTCTAAAGTAAAACACTAGAAAGAACATATACATATTATGCGCCGAATTCCATTCACCAAGTGATTGCACATGACTTATTTCCGTGTTCAAACCTTTGGAGCAGGTTTGTAATAGACTGTCAATAATGTAACAATTAATAAGAAATGATATATTAGCCTTTATTCTCAACTAACATTTAGTGCTTTAGATTTGTATTTCGTTATTTTGTTTCATGAATGGGTTACAGGTACATAATTTAAGCAGAAACATACACAAAATAACTTTATTTTGTTTTATTAATAAAACAACATCTTGTTTTCTCAGTGCGGTTTTAGTGTTAGGACAACCTTAACGCCATACTTTACCTACCCAAACTATATTAGTCAGATAAAATCTACTGAAGGAAGATGAATGTATCACTTCAATACCTCGATCATTGATATGGTGACATTTCTGGGGATGCAGGTTGAACTCTCAATACTATTCTGTTTCTAAATCCCTGTTAATATTTAGAGTAGTAAGCATTCAATTAAACAGTTAAAATCTTATACATTGTACCGGAAGATCTTGGGTAAGACAATTTTAATTCTTACTTTTTCGAAAAACGATAATTGTGCTGTTTGAGAGGCATTCTAGACGTTGTGAGTAATAGCAATGACAAGTCTGGATGGGTGATCAACTTCTTTATTGTACAATAACGACGTTTCGGTATAGATACTTATACCGTTTTCATGCTTGATACCGAAACATCGCTATTGTACAATAACGAAATTGATCATCCATCCAGACTTGTCATTCCTAAAGATAATTGCATCCACAAATATACGTTATTGCTCACAGTTGCTGGTGTTGTTTCTCTTTATCCAAAATTAGTTTGGCTCAGGTTCTAAATACAATTATCCGTTATATCTGCTTCAGCTGGAGAAATATCTAGTCGTCATACAGAATTCCATTAAAACCGCCATACACAGAAATGAATTCCCGTTGTTTGTAACAAAAGCAATGTTGAGCGGAGAATAATAGGTATCAATTCTATAGTTTGAAAAGTGAAAAGAACGATATAATTTAATTTGCATATATCAGATAATATGGCTTTGATGCTGGTTAGACGTATCGCAGTCTGTTCATATAGCGGGGGTATCACCCATCACCAGATGTCCACACGGCCGGTTTGTGTTGGGGAGTTCGATTTTTCTGTTATCGGCCATGCTCTATGTTTGTACTCAGCTGTAAGAAGGATATTTTGATCCGAACTACCTGCATGATGGTCCTACACCGAGGAATGAATTAAACCAGTTTGTGTTTCTTGCTGTTCAACAAGCAAACGCGGCTTTTCAATCAGTTCTCGGTCAAAATCGATGAAGAAGATATGTTCACGCCGGTTCCAAACACCGACCTTAACCTTATCCCAGATCTGCAATTGTCTAAGTGCGTTTGGAAAATGTGTAATGCAAATTCATAATTTGAAATACTTAACTCGACGACCAGTTGCAGTCATGCTTAGACTTTCTAATTTACATATATCCTTTATATAGCTGAAATATCGCTGAGTGCGGCGTTAAAAAACAAACCAGGAACACGAGTTAATATGTATGCTTAACATTAACCAACGATCGTCTTAATATTTATGTTGCCTCGTGGACAGGGCGTCAGTTTATTTAAATACTGATAGCGCACATTGAGAAAGGGAGTGAGTGTGGTTTTACGCCGCTTTTAGCAATATTTCAGCAATATCACAGCCGAGGGGACCAGAAATACCCCCACAAGACCACCTCCACTTGAACAAAGTGACGGTGACGTGTCCTTCTTAAGACAATACCGCCTCAATACTTTAAATTACATATTGAAACTATAGCACGAATGAAGATAGCGTTGACTTGATGTGACGCAGCAGGTGCTAGTATCATTATTAAGCAACACAGTCTGAATCCTCATTCAGTTTTGTCTGAACATCATTTTTTCACCTGTTTCTGTGTGACGGTCCAGGTCTAAGCGCCATTCTGGAGAAGTAGGATCAGGCTGAAATCAGTAGAAATATTAAGTCGAAGAATGGTAAAGTTGCATTTGTTCAACAGGTTGTCGGAGAACTACGAGCGGGCCGAGGGTGTGTGTCTACCCCGATGTGTTTTGTATACTCATTACCTGGACTTCTGCAAGAAGATGAAGTTTACCCCCGCGGGTGCTGCAACGTTCGGGAAGGTAGGGTCGTCTCTTGCAATTTCAATCTAAGTAACTTGTTACTTAAATATTTTTATATCGAATTTCACATTTCAGAATGAATGTTGAATTGCAGCATGTGATATATTTTAAAAATATAAATATGTTTTCCTTTCACTTACAATAAGGTAATTATGATAACTTTTATTGAAATAATGCTTAATTCTAATAATGTGTTTTTATCTTTCAAATCAGTCAGTTTGCATCTGCAGAAATTCTGTCGTCATATTACCTCTGAGACACAAGTATGTTTCACACACGGAATATGTCTCTGTTGAAAGGAGAGTTTAATTTGTCTTTCACTTTCCAGATTATACGTCAAAAGTTTCCGAAACTAACAACTCGGAGACTTGGAACCCGTGGGCAATCAAAGTAAGTATATCGTTAAGTCCCTTGTTACTATATAATTGGTAATGAACATGATCCGTCCTCAAATGTGTGTGCGCGCAACTACACAGACCAGATGGTCAGGTTGAGTGTGAACGTGTGTGTGCGTGTGAGCGTTTATAGAACTCAAATTAAGAAGTTCAATTAATTAGGTAGGTACCGTCCAATCGTATTGTTGAACAAAGCATAAAAATTAGATTGGGTCATTTATTACAGCATTTACGTGTCGGGTTATAACTTATAATAAATCGTGACGTATAAAATAGCACCATTTATGACATCAACAATAAGTTTGTGAATATAGTTTTACGCCGCTTTATGTAATATTAGAACAATAACACGTCCGGGAAACCAAGGATCCGTACATTATACCCATTTACGAACTTGAAACCAAACCTTCGACGTGACGAGCAAACGATATAGGCACTAGGCTACCTGACAGCCGTATACCACAATAAACATGAATATAGTTGCAAGCAGATATCTTTGTGACATACGATCATCAGTCATGGTGAAGTAATACGTCTCCCCGGGAGCCTAATTCCTCCATGTATGATCGTTCCCAACCATGCCGTCCTCTCGGTATCTGATGTTAACATGGAAGACCCGACACCCTGGAAGAAGAATTTTACGCCACTAGATACAACAATTACAAGCTATCATACCCTAAACCCGGTATCTCTTACCAGTTGTATGTTAGAAGTCAACACCAGCCCGTGTTTCCTTACAGTCTCAAGGAGAAATAACATCTCGCCTTTCATGCCAGACAAGCCAGGGAGCTGTTTTGCGTCCTTGCTTCTTGGCACACTGGGTAATGTTCAGTTAGGAAGGAATGGCATGGTTTGCGGGAGGAGAGTGGGGGTAGGAGACGGAATGTTTGTTATAATTGCCATTTGTTTACTTAGTGTAACTGTAAACTTGACACGCGTTGTGGTTGAATTTGTTTAATTTGACGTACAATAAATTAAATGTGCACTGGAGGTGATCCATCTATTTTCTAGTCTTGGGGGCTTTTAGATGTGTTTCATAAACTTAAACGCACACATATATGACGACAGATCGTGCTCTGGAAATGGTTAGAAATATTGTTAACACGTAGTTATGATATAATATACTTGTTCTACCTCTTAGCCTGTGTTTGAGGGTCCAAAGTATACACATGGGTGTCCAAGACTGGTGAGAAGTGGCACACTTCATTTGATTTCCAAGAATTTTGGTCATTTTAAAAGATCAGATGTTATATCTTATAATTGTTAGAATTTCAATCTTATATTGAAGAAAATCAACTACCCACCTTACACTTGTGCAATGGCAGGTAACACTAACATCTAATTCATCCATTCAGTCCCACACCATTAGGGTGAGAAATGTAGGAAAAAAACACTTCCCTCTTTTAAAAAAAACCTTCTTGTTCTCCCTGTCATGATCCGTCCTGACAACTAAGCATACAAATACCTTCCATAATTGGTTTGGCAGTAAAGCGTATGTGTTGTTTTATCTCATGTTTATCGTAATGTTTTGTTTTTCGCAGATATCATTATTACGGCATCGGAATCAAGGAGACGTCAATATATTACCATTCTGTGTATTCTGGGAAAGGACTTACAAGGTGAATATATTTGTTATACATATCTGAATTATGATCTATTTTATACTTCGTGTCAACAATGTATTCCATTTAAGAATTAACGCACGGTCCCTTATCACGCAACATACAAGTGTATATTGTTTTTGTTACTGGTGGTTTAGGTCGCCATTTTGTTTCGTTCTATAAATACAACTCCGTATCCAACCTCCAGTCAAAAAGAGATTTTTAGAATAAGTATATGTACAGTGAGTACTATCATCAACTACTGCTTTGAATATATATAAATTATATTATGACTGACGTCAGAAAGACAATTTAAGACATATCATTTCATATATTTTAATAGACAAGTGCAAAAACAAACTCTGTCCATATACATTTTCTTTAAATGCTACCAATTTAATGCCTCGATGGCACAATGGCCACCGGCAGACACAATAGGCCGAAAAGTGCTTTGCATCTGTTGGTCATTGTTTCCACTAGTGTTTCTACCGGGTGATAACGTAATATTTCACATTATAAAACACGTTCTGTCGAGAGTGTATATTGTATTTGTTACTCAAGCAGTTTACGAATAAACCTTCCCGTATATCATACTAAAGCAAAACGGTTGAAAAATAAACCTACCCGTATATCATACTAAAGCAAAACGGTTGAAAAATAAACCTACATGTATATCATACTAAAGCAAAACGGTTGAAAAATAAACCTACCCGTATATCACACTAAAGCAAAACGGTTGAAAAATTAACCTATTTGTATATCATACTAAAAAAGCCGTTCATGGATAAGCCTCTATATATATCGTACTAAAACAAAACAGTTTAAGAATAACCCATATGTATATCATACTAAAACACAGTAGTATAAGAATACATCTACATGTATATCATGATGAATTTTTAAGGAAGCTGATATATTGTGGTGCAACTTTCCTGTTGTTGAATATGGTTCATCGCAAAATAAAATTCATGTTTGTGTTCACAACATTTTATTAACAAAGAAAATAACTTTGTGTTATATTTCTGTCGAAACATTCATGAAGCATATGAATCACTGTGCATAAATGTCTATGATAAATTTATTATTTTGATAATGGAGGTTCCGAATAGGCAGCGTATCCTTGGAGAAATTCTATTTACTGTCTGTGCTGCGTGTAGAGAGGGTAAGGGCCCCGAGCAGGTGATGAGCCTAACCAGCCTGACTTCGCCAAGATCACACAAGCTCCCTTTGCTGCATTTTGTTTACTTTATTCTTTAAATTTGGGTGATCGTTCATAAGAATTGACGTTATATGTTTTTTCTATAGACACTAAAAATATATTTTTAATGTTCTTTTGAACCTGGATCAGGTCAAATCCTCTTTTTATAAAGTCACCTAATTTGGCTTCTATGTACTTGTGATAAATAATAAAAAGCTATCGTGAATTCCTACTCTGCTGCGGACGAAACAATGTGAAAGTGAATCTCAGATTCCTTTGTTATCAAAGAACCTTTAGAATAACAATTCTCACGATTAGGTTAAGATAGTTTACACATTCATATAGATAACCTCAATTATATTTCATATACTAGCTGTGAACACCTACGCCCATTATTCTGTCAGATTATAATTTCAATTTTCTTTCTTTCGCAGATTCTCGGGGATCAAGATTAAGACAGAGGTAGGCACGGGGGACCTTTTTAAAAAGCCCTTATCGGTTACATCTAATGCACGGAATTAAGACCGAAATCCGGGAGATAAAACTTGTCCTTCATTCCTGCGTGTCTGTATTAGGCTGGGTCCAAGTGACACATGCGTCGATAGTTGTAATAAATGAGGACCAAGAACATCTCCTTGTGGGACGCGCAGAGCACGTCAAACATTACAGAGACTGGCATAGTTTGGCCTCCCGAGAAACAATTGATTGTGGGTGTTGGTTTTACACTGGATCTCACGACCCACTTAGACCCACCATAGCATGGGTCCCCGGGTTGGTAGTTCTGATAAAGGTTCTTTTAGGCACGACTGTTTTAATATTTGTATAGGATAATGAGGCTTTTTGTTTCAGACGCTCAGTTGGAAAAGTTGTTGTGATAATTAATGTGTTTACTTAGGATTTACGTGGTAGTACTTAATATGTCTTATGTCGAGACAATGTGGATGTTAATTGCTGCAATGAAATAGGGCTGGCTAGACTTTTTATTTCACATCACCGACCGTTTAATAGTGGGGGAGGTGGGTATATATGTAGGAGAGGTGGGGGTTTTAATTTGAGTTATAGTTTTATACATAGTTTTGAAACATGCCTTTTTCTCTGAACGGTGGTCTAAATCATAACGCCATAATCCCACAATACAATACCTTTCAGATGTCAGATTATTTTTTAAAACATTTTTTGTGAAATCCAGCTCACTCACTAACTTTTGGTAGATTTTAAAAAACCCATTCTCCCATCTAGGGTTGTATACCCCCAGGAAGCTGAGAATAAATATCGGGTGCACGCGGGTCCATTGAAAGGGGTAATAATGTAGCTCAATCGTGGTCTTAGCGCATTTGAGCAGTTACAAAGCAGAAAATGCCTGATACAAATTCATAACTGATTTGTTTTCTGTTTAATTATAAGACCGGAAAGGAGGATTATGCGTCTATATACCAAATTTACATATGAAATTTTCTTTGTAATATTAATATTATTTTTTGTTTAAATGTCAGTATTAGTGTTGTTTTTTTATATTTTAAAAGGTGCCTTACGCGAACAGTGTACCTTTCTTATGACTGGATGAAGGTAGGACGTGAAGATGCATACGCTTTTCCCTTGTGTGCAAATTATTCGTTATCGGTGGCGGAAGGGAAGTAGAAATCAAATACAGAGAGCTATTTACCCCTACAAGTAACAAAGTAGATGAAACAGAGAATCGACCCAATACATATTACCAGTGCCCTCCACTTTCGTCTGCCCGACCCCCCATCCTCATGAGGGGCCGGTGCTGGGGTGAGGACGGTTGCCAGGTTACCAAATAGTGATATAAGCATGTGCGTTCCTTCTCTCAGGGTAACCGCGACCTCTCTCCGCCATCTTGTTTACCCTAAGTATTGTCTTCGGTCACGCACAGCCTGGAGATATCCGTTAGGAAAACATTTTCTGCTCCGACCGTGAAATCTCTATGGCGGTATTAGCCGTTTAGGAAACAAATGTGTGAGGACGTTTAGCGGCTATCAGAAAACAAACGCCACTTTATCTACAAGGGATGACTTAAAAATAAACACAGATTAGGGGAGCGACAATTATTGAAAATTTGATGAGTTGTTTGATAGTCGTTGTGTATACATCTTGTCTATCATGTACAGGTGAAAAATATTTCTGTTTCTCGTGATTTGTTCAAAAGAGATTGGGTCGAAGGAAATTACCGTGCACCTGTCGTAGGTCACGAAACACAAAAAGTAGGATTCTGATGAAAAGAAATTCGAATTTAAGAAGTCTTTAAAGAAATATTCTAAAGATATTAGGGTTGAGGGCAATTTCATGGACATGTCGTGATAATCATGAAACAAATATTTACTTATATTACAATTGTTATTTATGGTGATTATTATTAATTTTAGCAGTTCAGACTGTAAAAACATAACAAATAGACTGTTTCCAAATACAAAGGTATCATGACTCACATGATATGTGAAATATTGAACAGCCGTCCTCCAATCAACTCATGGTATTGTTGGGGCGGTGGGGTAGCCTTGTGGTTAAAGCGTTCACGCTGAAGATCCGGGTTCGAATCCCCACATAGGCACAATGTGTGAAGCCCATTTATGGTGTCCCCCGCCGTGATATTGCTGAAATATTGCTAAAAGCGGCGTAAAACGAAACTTACTCACTCATGGCATTGTAGACATACATTTTACAAATTAATGTTGTTCTCTTTTCATCTATACGATTATTTTTCTCTTTCAATACTTTTTCAGTTTAGTACTGTTTGGGCCCCTAAACAGTCACTATCTCAACCGAAGAAACAAATAAAAACAAATCGTGTAAAGACGCATGTATATAATTAACATATTCCATTGTAGGGGTCAAACCGGAAATACTCTCTCAGTTCCAAGACAGGAACATTACTCCCTGACTTCCCGGATGCCAATAACCTTATACTCCCTGATGACATCGACAGAGAAAAGGTGAGCAGTGTATATTCCTGAGGACAATTCATCACCAGCATCACTCCCCTGTCTGATGTACTCCATCAGCCGCTGAAACCACCACGATCATCCAGTCCAGTGTATTAATTACCTATGTAGTTCGATGATGGCCAAGCATGCTTTTCCTGTTTGCCCAATAAAAAGAAGGAATCAGTTTCATATTTAGACCCATAATGATTCAGAGTGACAAATACTCTCCGTAAGACTGTATGACAAGGAATGACTTTCTGATGGTCAAATGTCCAAACAGAATTATTTCAACAGCTCCAGGCTTTAGTTATATTTTACAAACGAAATCTGAATAATATTGAAAAAGAAAACATTCAAGGAGCGCCATACGACTCTTGTTCCATAGATGGTTGATAAAGGTTACGGGGCGGTGGGGTAGCCTAGTGGTTAAAGCGTTGGCTCGTCACGCCGAAGACCCGGGTTCGAATCCCCACATGGGTACAATGTGTGAAGCCCATTTCTGGTGTCCCCCGCCGTGATGTTGCTGGAATATTGCTAAAAGCGGCGTAAAACCAAACTCAGTCAGTCAGTCAGTGATAAAGGTTACAACAGTCCCGGCCGCAGTGAAACCTTCACATTTTTGGAAGACATGTAGGAGGTGTAAATTGGACGCATTTGTGACAATTGTAATGACCGATGCAAATTCCTGTTTGAGATGTAACATTATGTAAATGTAGATGAGAATCTGGCGTACAAATGCAATTTTGATATGTCATATTAGAGTATTACACTTATATTAATAATGCCTATGGAATGTTCCTCAACTGGGGATGCAGATGGAGACGTTCATCATGATGTATCGGACTCACTGCCAACGTATCCTGGACACAGTAATTAGTGCTAACTTTGATGAGGTAAGTACTACAGTCATATTCCTGTCTCCTGACAAAAGATCATTTAATCTCTTCCCAACTTGTTGAAATAAGGAATTACCATCAAATATCCTATCTTCATAAATTGGATAATAGACTATACATCCCATCCTGGAATACAAAATATAACTGAAACCAAAAGCAATCGATAGCAATCCAAATCAACCAAACCACAATCCAATGTCATCTGCTGCAAACTACAAACCTTGTGACTTCATCCGTGGAAATTTTAAGAAGGGGACTTTTGCAGATGTCCCTTCGCGTATCATCGCAAAACAAGTTTATACAGTAGAACACGGATATAACGAACTCCAAGGGACCAAGAAATTTAGTTCGCTAAATCCGTTGTTCGTTATTCCCATTTGACCGCCATCTTGGATTGTAGAGATGTAGACATTCACAGACATTACCTATATCATGTTGATAAATATGAAGTTTATTTTTATAATAAAATTGAAATAATACAACTACAATTTAAATAAATTTATTTTTTAATGAAAATGCAAGCTTACATTTATAATGTCCAGATAAACCACGAAAGAAGCAAAATCTGTAGCGATTTTTTTTCCATTTGTGACATGTCATAACATGCCCGTGCCTTTTTCTTTTATATTTTCATTTTTATGTAATCAGGCTTTCCGTTTTCGAAGCTTCGTATGAATAAAATGCGAGGCGAATCGTGTATGATAATATTTCCAAATATCTTCGAACATTCTTGTAACAAAATAATTACGGTAATGATTGATTACATTTACCCCCCAAACAACTGGAAACAAATTAAGTTATCACAGAATTTAAAGTGTTAACTCCCCCTCGCGAAGTCATGGTCCATTGTGGGTTAAAGTGTGGAGCCCATCTCCCATCTCTGCCACGATATTGCTAAATAAGTGCTCTAAGCGGCATAAAATCCTACTCACTAACCCACTTACCAATTATTAATACCAAGTAAGAGACAAAGTCTTTCACCTGACGTTGTAGGACTAATATGATCCATTAATTAAAATTAAAAACTTACGAATCATACCGAGTGCTTTGACATCATCTTATCTTTTTATCACGTTGATATGTTGTTTAATCAGTAATTAACATATGTTTTTTACAACGTGGATATATATAAGCTCAACAACGTTTGGTACGGAGTGTTCGGTTATCTCGCTGTTTGAAAACATTACTTTAAAATGGCCGACGGCCCGCGGCAGTGAGTGCACGGATGTCCAAACTATCAACGCCAATTGAATGAAAGCTGACACGATCTTATCCACCCCACGTGCGTCGATCACGTATTTATGTAGCACGTGGCTAGCAACCACACAGAGGCCAGGTATCGTCCTCTCTCATTGAGAGCCCTGTGTGTCATTTCTGATAACCCAAGGAGCAAATGTACCGGTATAGCATAACACGCGCGTATTCTCTGAACACTAACAGCATAACACGCGCGCAGTCTGAGAGTCCGAGGGCAAAGGTTGCTGGATTCAGGACAACTGTAGTCTTTTAATCTGCAGTATAGGCCGAGAGAAAGTTGATTAATTGCTGTCCTTTTTTCGTGCAACGCAAGTGGAGAATTCGTGCTTGAATAACAACGCGTTTTTGGTCATTTATTTTCATAGTGTTAATCCAGGCTTAGTTGAAGTAATGATTTTAACACCTGGTAAAATGTAGGATGTTAAGAGGTTGAGTAATGGCTTTGGTTTCCACACGAACATGCGTTTATACTTTAATTTGTTTCTTCCATTGTTGACGATTAACATATTTGTGGAAATTATGTGAGTGATATCAATACAAACATATTCATTTTGGGCGATTGACAATATACCACAGATTGGGGCAACGAAATAGTTGGGGTAGCAGGCTGTGGTTAAAATGATCCCGTGGGAATGTGTGCAGCGTAGTTTCTGATATCCTCCGCGGTGAATTTGCGGTTATATTGATAACAATTCAACGGAGTTGACTATCTCCTCTCTGTAAATAGTGAATGAGTTGGGTTTCGCGCCGCTTTGGGCAGTATTTGACGGCATGTCAGTTTGATGAGGGCGGAAAACTTCAAGTGATGCAGGTCTTGGAGGTTTGCCACTCTGGTGAATCCTACGAGCACGGATATGGTGCCGACAGCCATAGACATTTTAATAGAGTGAACCACGATCATTGGTTCCTGGCTCAAAGAAGGGACACGACTCTGCACTGTCTGTTGTCTGTTCATGCAACTGGAGCTCACGTGCCTCCCGAATGAACAGATATGTCAGCCTCGATGCATATGGATGGAAGAACTGTTTTGTTGATACTAATGCCCAGTAATGTATTCAACTGTTTCTTTTATGACAAATGTGCCATATAAGCCTATATAATCAATAAGTTCCGTCACTCATTGTCATTCAAATGAATTAATCTAAGAATTACACGTTACTTTTTCTTCATGAAGGTTCAGAATTTTCTGCTGCATTTTTGGCAAGGAATGCCCGAGCACCTGGTCGAGGTTCTAAAAGCGGAAGTACTTGCTGACGTCATAGCGTTGTGTGACTCCATCCTGTATAAGGTGAGCTAAAACAATTTGCAAATCGCCTTGAATTATTGTCTTGAAATATACTAGAATGCCAGAGCAAAAACTCTCACACATCAATATTCCAGCTATGTGACGGCGGCTTGTAAATGACATGTCTGCCCAGGCAGTAACTGATGTTACGTAACGATGCCCGCGGCCTTGTACAATGACGCCCAAATTCAAGTGACTATCCGATCCATCAAGTTTTCAGACCAGTACAACAGAGCCATATTCTAACACTCAGTCTGTCCGGGATATGCAATAGCATCAGTAGTAAAGTAATGGGGAAAAAGGGTAGCACAGGTGCACCTTTTTCCCCATTTCTATACTACTGCATCTGATAATACCATGTCATGATAAAGTGTAATGTAAGAAAATTTAGGCTGGAGGATTAAAACATTTCTCGTCACCACGTTTCGTTTCGACTGCGAAATGACAGGAATATTTGTTTCCATTGCTATGAAACAATAAAAAGCCACACTTTCATTATTTTTTTACAACCGTGCTTTCAAATGTACTTCACACTATCTCCCCCTCACCCTCAAACAGGTGCTTGTCGACGTGCTCATCCCATCCTCCATACAAGATCTACCTGACAGGTAAGAAAACATCAAAGAAACCGCCACTAGATAAACGCCTGGCAGTGATACAAACAAGCCAATATCTCCCGTCCAGCCCCATGTGGGGGCACGGCTTTGTAAGGCAACGGGTGATACCAGGTGAGGGCAAGCATCTTCTCGCCCTGCTCCGTGACAACGCGAGAACGTGAGAAGTATTACTACCCCATGTTCGATCTGTATCAAGCCTAACTACTGCCATGTATCCTGCCGACGCAACATTTTGTAGTAATTAGTCCCAGTGACAAGCTGTGAAAGTTTGCGCTTGTTCCCGAATGACCCTGCGTGATGGGAGATATAGGAAGGATTAAGCTTGGTCGCATCTAATCACAATTCCTTTGTAATTTTGGAGAGCGATCTTAAATGAAATTACAGAAGTAGGTGTAAATATCTCATTTTATGTAGTAGTAATATTCTTCACTATTAACACCATTAGCTACAGTAGAAGTAGTGGTAGTGGCGGTCGTGGAGGTAGTTGTCGGTTTAGTAGTATTTTACTTCGGTGAAATAGTGAAGATTACCTAGTTTGGCAAATACAAAAATCACTTAGAATTATTTATTTTATTTTTTTGGGGCACTGGCTCCGCCAACGCAAAAAAATCTTCAATGTGGTCTTAAGTCAGGGTTCCCACCCCCACCCCCGATCCGCATATGGGAACATTTGTCATAATAACGAAAGGGAGATCCTGAATAGTCTACCGCGCTCCCACGGGGTTCCAACAGTGTAAATGAACTCAGTAGGGGAGGTAACCGCATATTGCACGAAAATTCTACAAGGCTCATTTACTGTGGAGATTCAGTATGTAATGGGTGTAGTCCAAAAGCAGTCAAACAGGGTGTAGATGTAAAACAGGGAATGAATTGAAATCGGTGTTGCTGATGGTGTTTTAGATATGTATGTGTGGATTAAATATTTGGGAAATTTGCAGTAATTCCGGAATAAATGCTAGGCTAAGGTTACATTTGCCTGACCACAAAGCTTCATTATCAGTGTATTTGTTCATTTCGGCAGTCTAGGATCAGAAATCAAGGTGTTCGTTAAACGTCTCCCTGTTTGGTTGGAGTCTTCGCTGGAGAATGCCCCCAAGGACATTCAAGACAGAAAACAAGAAGGTAGAGCACGCACTATTCAGCTGTATTTGTTACTTTCGTCCTTTGTTTCCTTCCTGACCATAACATCACATTGCCCTTCACTGTCTTCACCATCAACAATAAGCAGTGGATCGGTTGTCTTTGCCCCAGTTCAGACTCAGGACTCTCCTCTGCCTGGTCTGTCATCACAACCATCTCACTATCGTGTCCAATCCCGGTATTGGTACGTAGCCGGTTCATCTTCCGTTCAAATATGGTTGACCTTATCCGGCCAAGCATAACAGCATTGGTTGCCCTCACCCGTCATATAGAACAGAATTTTTTTATCCTGTCCAGTCCAGTTATAAATCTAAACAAAAAATCCAACCTTCTGTCAGGTGAAGTATCACAGCTATGACACAGACCCTGTCCAACCTTCTGTCAGGTGAAATATCACAGCTATGACACAGATCCTGTCCAACCCTCTGTCAGGTGAAGTATCACAGCTATGACACAGATCCTGTCCAACCCTCTGTCAGGTGAAGTATCACAGCTATGACACAGATCCTGTCCAACCCTCTGTCAGGTGAAGTATCACAGCTATGACACAGACCCTGTCCAACCCTCTGCAGGTGAAGTATCACAGCTATGACACAGATCCTGTCCAACCCTCTGTCAGGTGAAGTATCACAGCTATGACACAGATCCTGTCCAACCCTCTGTCAGGTGAAGTATCACAGCTATGACACAGATCCTGTCCACCCTCTGTCAGGTGAAGTATCACAGCTATGACACAGATCCTGTCCAACCCTCTGTCAGGTGAAGTATCACAGCTATGCTATGACACAGATCCTCCTGTCAGATGAAGTATCACAGCTATGACACAGATCCTGTCCAACCCTCTGTCAGGTGAAGTATCACAGCTATGACACATGACCCTGTCCAACCCTCTGTCAGGTGAAGTATCACAGCTATGATCCTGTCCATCCCTCTGTCAGGTGAAATATCACAGACCACAGCTATGACACAGACCCTGTCCAACCCCTCTGTCAGGGTGAAGTATATTTACAGCTATGACACAGATCTTGTCAAACCCTCTGTCAGGTGAAGTATTTACAGCTATGACACAGATCTTGTCCAACCCTCTGTCAGGTGAAGTATATCACAGCTATGACACAGACCCTGTCCAACCCTCTGTCAGGTGAAATATCACAGCTATGACACAGATCCTGTCCATCCCTCTGTCAGGTGAAGTATCACAGCTATGACACAGACCCTGTCCATCCCTCTGTCAGGTGAAGTATCACAGCTATGACACATATCCTGTCCATCCCTCTGTCAGGTGAAGTATCACAGCTATGACACATATCCTGTCCAACCCTCTGTCAGGTGAAATATCACAGCTGTGACATATATCCTGTCCATCCCTCTGTCAGGTGAAATATCACAGCTATGACACAAGACCCTGTCCAACCCTCTGTCAGGTGAAATATCACAGCTATGACACATCCTGTCCAACCCTCCTGTCAGGTGAAGTACCCTCTGACACAGGTCCATCCCTCTATCACAGAAGTATATGACACAGACCCTGTCCAACCCTCTGTCAGGGTGAAGTATCACAGCTATGACACAGACCCTGTCAGGTGAAGCATCCCTCTGTCAGGTGAAGTATCACAGCTATGACACAGATCCTGTCCAACCCTCTGTCAGGTGAAGTATCACAGCTATGACACAGATCCTGTCCATCCCTCTGTCAGGTGAAGTATCACAGCTATGACACAGATCCCTGTCCATCCCTCTGTCAGGTGAAGTATCACAGCTATGACACAGATCCTGTCCAATCCCTCTGTCAGGTGAAGCTATGACACAGATCCTGTATCACAGCTATGACACAGACCCTGTCCAACCCTCTGTCAGCTATGACACAGGTGTGAAGTATCACAGCTATGACACAGATCCTGTCCATCCCTCTGTCAGGTGAAGTATCACAGCTATGACACTCCTGTCAACCCTCTGTCAGGTGGTGAAGTATCACAGCTATGACACAGATCCTGTCCATCCCTCTGTCAGGTGAAGTATCACAGCTATGACACAGATCCTGTCCAACCCTCTGTCAGGTGAAGTATCACAGCTATGACACACACTGATGACACAGATCCTGTCCATCCCTCTGTCAGGTGTATCACAGCATGACACAGACCCTCCCACCCTCTGTCAGGTGAAGTATCACAGCTATGACACAGATCCTGTCCAGACCCTGTCCATCCCTCTGTCAGGTGAAGTATCACAGCTATGACACAGATCCTGTCCAACCCTCTGTCAGGTGAAGTATCACAGCTATGACACAGACCCTGTCCAAGCCCTCTGTCCAACCCTCTGTCAGGTGAAGTATCACAGCTATGACACAGACCCTGTCCAACCCTCTGTCAGGTGAAGTATCACAGCTATGACACAGACCCTGTCCAACCCTCTGTCAGGTGAAGTATCACAGCTATGACACAGACCCTGTCCAACCCTCTGTCAGGTGAAGTATCAGAGCTATGACACAGATCCTGTCCAACCCTCTGTCAGGTGAAGTATCACAGCTATGACACAGACCCTGTCCAACCCTCTGTCAGGTGAAGTATCACAGCTATGACACAGACCCTGTCCAACCCTCTGTCAGGTGAAGTATCACAGCTATGACACAGATTCTGTCCAACCTCATGTACAGTCAGATGCCACATACGTGCCTTGATGCCAAGAAGTCCTGGCGCCTGACGTGTCAATTGTCTGATCCATGTCAATGTTCCATCATCTGACGTTCAATCCATTAATCCAATGGATTATACCACCGCTGTGTCGTGTTTGGCCATTCTTTTCTTCCCCAGAACAACGGCATTGGTCCCCAAAACTAGCATCATCTTTTCTCGTTTCAGTGGCACGTGGCTTTGTGTTGAGCGTCCGGAGACAGGTCTCGTTTGTTCACCTTGCGCAGGTAAACCTAGGCCATGGCCTTTAAACCCTAATCAATATTGTGTCGGTTAAATAGATATCTTCCTTGGGGACAATAGTGTTTAATATCACCAACGTCATGTATATATCTCAATTGTTAGGAAATCAAATCTGGCCAGGGTGTGTCTACTGCTGAGGTGTCAGCTGATAGTGAACATCAGAGGAATATGTAGGCCTCTAGAGTGCTGTAGTCGAGTACAACTGTAAAAAAAAAGTAGTTTTCATTTGAAGCACAACACTTTTGTTAGGAGCAAAAAGCGGATTTGTCCACATAACAAATATCCCACGGATTAAAGCATTCAGTCACTAACACTTCAGTGATGTGGGTAGGTCGCGTGTTGTCATTTTGTCCGTCGAATGATCAAAATGTGAATGGGTTCTTTTATCGCGGCTCTGAACAGTAATGGTTTATTTGCGTTTAGATCCAGAACGTCTGGGTGAGGTTCTCTCGCGAAGTATATTACAAGGGCAGAGGGGAGCTACATGTATGAATTAACGTTGTCAGTATCGAATGTGCGTGATGTTGGTACGCATGTTACAGATGTTTATAACGTTACCAGTTACAAGCACGTGTGAATTGCTGACAGATAAACGGTCATCTCTCGAGCGAACCTGAGATTCGAACTCATGATCACGGGTTCCTGGCCCGTGTAATGGGCACTACTCAGCTCCTAACAATTTGCTGTTTTGTAGTCTCTCGTGACTCTGTGTTGTGGGGGCGGTGCGGTAGCCTTGTGGTTAAAGCGTTCGCTCGTCACGCCGAAGACCCGGGTTTCATTCCCCACATGGGTACAATGTGTGAAGCATTTCTGGTGTCCCCCGCCGTGATATTGCTGGAATATTGCTAAAAGCGGCGTAAAACCATACTCGTGCACCCTATGTTGTGTCACTATGCATTTGTATCTAATTATAAATATATTTTACACATGATTATTTCATCGCTCAAAATCTTTCTAGTTTCTAACTTTCTATAGTCACTATTCTACTAATGACGTCTTTCAGCCAGCCAGCTATGACGCGTCTATTGCTATACTATACTCGTGTACGGTACCTGCACATGCACTCTTTGAGCAACATACTCATGCTCGTGGATTTCAACAAAGTGTTGACCACCTGAATACCCACTTGGCGCTTTCCTTCAACATTAGGGGCGGTGGGGTAGCCTAGTGGTTAAAGCGTTGGCTCGTCACGCCATAGACCCGGGTTCGAATCCCCACATGGGTACAATGTGTGAAGCCCATTTCTGGTGTCCCCCGCCGTGATGTTGCTGAAATATTGCTAAAAGCGGCGTAAAACCAAATTCAGTCAGTCAGTCAGTCCTTCAACATCATGCTTACATACTGTTAAAATACTATTGAAAACTCACACATTGCAAACAAACTCACTTACTCTGTTGTTTCAGACAGCCAGGTCGGTGCTGGTGAACCACGACTGTGTCTGTGTGATGCAGGAAGACCTCACAGACATTGACATTGATGAACTATGCTGTCAAGTTGGCTACCACGACCCCGAGAATGCGCATGCGTACAGGGACGCTATCTTAGAATGTACGTACCACCAAATCCCGTAAAGTTTGTCAACTGATAGTCTTAAGGATTGAGCGTCTGTCTGCAAAGATCACGTTAAATGATGGTATTTGTTGATACCTTGCCTGTCGCACAGGTCAGGAGTGTTCAGCTGGGAGTCTATATAATGTGCCTGAGGGTGGTATCCATGTTAAACGCAGGCATGGTGTCACGGTGGGTCAGCATTTAAAGCGGGTGTGCTAAGGAACCAGACACATCGCTCTGTAAGTGCAATACCTTGAACATCATGTTCAACTCACCTCAACTCCTACCTGTGAAATGTTTTTAACAAATGTACGTTTCTTACAGATTTTGACGAGTTTCAAAACCTCCTTGGGAAGCAGGCACCAATAGAGGCGTACACAGAGTGGATGGACAATATCATTGACAAATGTGTTCTTCAGGTGGGAGACTCCTTAATGATTACAAACATGCACCAACTATAGCATTCAACCGAGAATGCTTTCATTCAACATGAAGCTGACAACATAAAACTGACAAAGCTCTTTGAAGAAGAGTTAAACCCAACTCTCTCACTTACTTGAGAATATCACTTCATTCACTTGGTTTTGGTTGTCTAGACAAAGTGTCGTTTTTATTCCACGGTTCCAAATTTAGAAAACGTGTCCGGCGACATGAATGTCATTAAGTGCTTGAGTGTGTTGATCAGAATATCTTTGCTATATTTGATTTTTCACTCTTGTCTGCTAACCAGGCTGTTCCGTTGCCATGGAAACATGTGATCCATTGTGGCAATGACGTCATATCCTTCTCTAAGTATACCCGCAAAGGGTGTTGTGGAGAATGACCGATGACTTTCTGTTCGTACAGTATTATTACATGTTAGGTGCTTTCCGATTCGTGGATGTTGTTGAGTTTCCGATCACAGTAGGTAATCAATGATATTTTCTGTACATTACTGTTTATTGCAAACTGTGTCTACTGCCATCTGCCATTGAGTTTGCTGGTTACAGTTAAACACGTGTTGTTCAAGCTACGTGCTGAACATTGGGGGTGTGGGGTGGGGGGAGGGGTAATACTGTGGATGTATATTCATGTAATCTGTATGATCACTTTCTTGATGACGATGTTAGCATCAACGCAAAATCAAGATTTTGTATATCCATAGAACTACTTTGTTCATCACGCCAACTTCTAAATGCCACACAAAGAAGTTATGCACGTGCTGGTCAAAGCTGACACATGATGGTCAGACCTGTCCATACGGACCACACGTGGCACGTGTTACGTCTTCTCAGACATGTGACCATGTTCGAAATATGCCTTTTCTAGTCAGCAGTGAACGGGTACCCGGTAGGAAGTGAATCCACTTGGCGCCTCCGGGCAGCTACTCCTGCATACTCACCAGGGTGCTGAGAATAATGATTGCTCCCTGATCCGAGTAACAATAGGCTCATAAAGTGAGTTTAGTTTTGTGCCGCTTTTAGCAATATTCCAGCAATATCAGGCGGGGGCACACCAGAAATAGACTTCACACATTGTACCCATGTGGGGAATCGAACCTGGGTCTTCGGCGTGACGAGCGAACGCTTTAACCACTAGGTTCCCCCACCGCCCCTGGGCGCATCAAGCAAGCTTTAGGTATTATTATGCATATGCATATTTGTTTGACTTGGTAGTGTTGTTTTATAGCCGTGTCGAGAGAAGAAATGTGCCTTGGAATTGGTCAGCTCCGAATTCCTGCTGCACTGGGCGCTGATTGGATCCCTTGTGATGAGAGATCTCACCCTTAATAGTGCTTCCAGCTTTGGTAAGTGCTCATGATCAGGATATTTTTCTTGTTGAATTGTTCCTACAATAGTAATGATCAACTGAGTCATATCATGAATACAATTCACGACATTGTACACGTGGTATAAATACAATATGACCTTGACCTTCCCAGGATCGTTCCACCTCATCCACATGATGCTGGACGAGTATGTTTTCCTCGTGATGGAGACACAGAACGAGATGACACGTGATGCGCAGTTACAAAAAAATGTGCAGAAACATATGAAGAATGCTGGTATGTTATTATATTTCTTTTTTATTTCTTAAATCTCTTTTCAAATGTTGAATTGCTTGATGCGTGTCCTCGTATTCCATTGCGTAGAACGCTGTCCATGATGTCTCTTATCTATTCCATACTCCATTATGTGCGGCTTTAAACAGCATTCGTCAAACAAACAATGAATGTTTGAGGGGACCGGGATTACAGTTGTTTGACTCGCTGCAAACTGTGCTCCTTATGCGTATCACCCGTGAAGATCCGGATTAGAATTGGTCTTCAGTAACCCATGCTTGTCGTATGAGGCGTCTAACGGGATCGGGTGATCAGGCTCGCTGGCTTGGTTGACACATGTCATCGTATCCCAACTGCGTACATCGATGCTCGTGTTGTTGATCACTGGATTGTCTGGTCCAGACTCGCTTATTTACAGATCGCCGCCATATAGCTGGAATATTGCCGAGTGCGGCGTAAAACTAAACTCACTCCACTCCCTAGGGGTTGGTGGGGGGTTTAGCCAAGTGGTTGAAACGTTCGCTCGTCACGCCGAAAGCCCGGGTTCGATGCCCCACATGGGTACAATGTGTGAAGCCCATTTCTGGTGTCCCCCGCCGTGATATCGCTGGAATATTGCTAAAAGCGGCGTAAAACCAAACTCATCCACTCACTCACCACTCCCTATGCGTATCAGAAATCTATGACCGTGGGTTCGAAACCACTGTTTACCCTGACTGTGATTCATGGTTTATTAGCACTATACGAGTGGTCTTCAGCATCCTCCAGCATCAAGCTGACACACCTTATTATAACTGATATAGTGTTCAAACTCATGAGTTTTCCCGTTGTTTTTCCGTCTACATTAAGTCTGTAGGGACGACTACCATGTGGTACCAAGGGGCGTGGATCGTACTGCGCATGGCTGAGTTTCCATGACGATATGCCTCCGCGACAGCTGGACTATTGTGGACGTCCGTGGAAACCGCATTGACTCGCTCATTTTTAAAGTTGGGATTTCGTATTTTGTTGGACCATAAATCGAAATGTGTTTATTTAATATACCGAACCGACTGCTTATAAAGACACATTTGTATTTTCTCAGAAGAGATAAAGATGCACGCCAAAGTGAGGACATCGGCAAACAAATCCCAGAATTCTCCAAAGAGCCGGAAACGGAAACACACTGAGGATCACTATGACAGCAACAGCGGTAATCTAATTATACACATAAACAACGATAGCTGGTAATGTTATTATACACATAAACAACGATAGCTGGTAATGTTATTATACACATAAACAACGATAGCTGGTAATGTTATTATACACATAAACAACGATAGCTGGTAATGTTATTATACACATAAACAACGATAGCTGGTAATGTTATTATACACATAAACAACGATAGCTGGTGATGTTATTATACACATAAACAACGATAGCTGGTAATGTTATTATACACATAAACAACGATAGCTGGTAATGTTATAATACACATAAACAACGATAGCTGGTAATGTTATTATACACATAAACAACGATAGCTGGTAATGTTATTATACACATAAACAACGATAGCTGGTAATGTTATTATACACATAAACAACGATAGCTGGTTTGAAAACAAATCCATGTCTTTGTCTAAGACAATAAAGAAATGCCTCTTTTTCAGGGAATACTAAATTTATTTTATATTTTCAGTTTTCAATTGTTCATTAAATGATGCAATTTTGATAAATTTAGGGTGAATTTTAATTGCTATACAGGTTTGTCAATATTTAGACTTTTATTATTTGTAAACTTGACTCGTCTGTCATCTGAATTGTTTATATGACTTTATATGTTTGGACAGTATGGATGTCCCACTTTGACGTTGCCGAATTACGTATGTCAATGGTTCCTTAAACCCTCACTTTTCGTTACAGATGAACATGAAACTAACCCAATCACAGACGAGAACCGCCCATCACATCACCACATCGGTAGTTACGAGCCGCTAAACGGTACAGCATTCTCCAGGCCTACCCCTTCAGCTGTTTCAAGGGATTCGTCCTTCACCTTGCATGAAGATGCCACACGTGGGAATTTCAATCACGCATCATTGCCTCTCTCTCCTATTAAGCATTATTCTTCATTTAATGGAAGTACGTACGACCGCCCGTCATACTTGCCTCAGTTTGGTCTCAACTCTTACAGCGATTACGTCACACATAACAATGCATTTACGTCATCACGGGTCCAGACGTATCCAGACTCTCATGCGCATGCTCAGACATTTCCCTCTGTGCCAATGACATCAGGTTTGGCTCACAGCCCGGGTTCCTATTGGTCAGAAGGTCGAACACATCCGGCCTTCACCACTGACCCCTACAGTCAGTACAACTACAATAACATAGCTCCACCATACGACAGCTACAAAAAAGGTTCGTTTATACGAGGTAGCGTTTACCAGGAGTCATTGAACAGGTCGGCCTTTGACTCGGCGAGAGGGTACTACTCAAGACCACAAGATAACTTTCAAGGTTTGTATATAACCCCATATACCCTATATAATGAGTGAGTGAGTGAGTTTGGTTTTACGCTGCTTTTAGCAATATTCCAGCAACATCACGGCGGGGGACCCTATATAATGAGTGGGTTGGGTTTTACGCCGCTTTTAGCAACATTGCAGCAATATCACTGCTGGGTACCCTATATAATAAACTCTGTCAAAAAAGAAACGCAACCCCTGTCCTCAGATATGAAAAATTCGTTTGAATGAAGTTATTGCTTCCAAACTAAATTTGATTCGAATGTATTGAAATGATACACGTAATTAATGAAGATTACCATCCAAACAACTGCATTTGTACGCATAAGTGGATTTTATTGCTTATTCCGTCACAACGCATGAAATGACCCTCATGGTGACTTCGCACAAAAAAAACACATGCAAATCATGAAAATGGCAGTTAATGTAGGGGTGTATAAAAGCCCATGTGCTTCCGTATTATATTCATTCATGTGTCGCCGAAAAGCTGTGTTAAAAATGCCACGATTGAGTGCTGCCGACCGAAATATCGCCATTGGTCGTGTTCAAGCCGGAGAAAGTTTTGGAACTGTTGCACGGCACCTAAATGTTCACAAAACAACGATATCCCGACTTTGGAGCCGCTACAACAACTTCAATTTGACCAACGATCGCCCGAGAAGTGGAAGGCCAAGAATCACGACCCCCCTTCAAGATCGGTACATCCGGGTCCATCACCTGCGTAATCGGCATGCCCTACCAACCGTGACTGCCACACAAATACCAGGTTTGAGGAGAGTGTCAGCTCAAACGATTAGGAACCGTCTGAAAGAAGCGGGTTTACGTGCCTGTAGACCAGTTGTTGGACCTGTACTACGCCCCTACATCGACGCCGACGACTCAGGTGGTGCAACAACGTAAGGATACGGACTTTACAAAACTGGAGGCGAATCTGGTTTTCTGATGAATCACGTTTTCTTTGCAACGTCACGACGGAAGACAGCGTCTGTATAGGAGACGTCATAAACGTTTTGCGCCCATCTGCGTCCGACAGGTGGACAGATTTGGCGGAGAAAGCGTCATGGTTTGGGGAACCATCTCATACAACCAGAAATCAGACTTGGTGATCGTTCCAGGGAACCTGACAGCCCAACGTTACATCAACCACGTGTTAGAGCTTCACCTTCTCCCGATTATTGACCAACAGACACAGATTTTCAACGGGACAACGCCCGGCCTCATACTGCACGTGCAACAATGAACTTTCTGCAGAATTCCAACGTCAATGTCTTGCCATGACCCTCTAAATCACCAGACCTCAACCCTATTGAACACCTGTGGATACTCTGGATCGACGCGTACGTCAACGTCAGCCGCCGCCACAGACGCTGCAACAGCTCGCCGTTGCACTGCAGGAGGAGTGGAGAGCCATTCCCCAGGAAAGAATCCGGCGTCTTATCCGTTCTTGTCCAAGGAGATGCCGTGGAGTGATTGCAGCGCGTGGTGCTCATACGAGATACTGAGAAAGACGCCCCCCTGGTGACAAACTGGTGTCTGTGAGATGACTTTTGAAATGACAATTTTAAACATGCCCATCTGGGTTATTATTCTGCCAAATTTCAGACTTCTGTCTTAAATAATAAAAATGCCGTGTCGTCCTACAACTTCAGATCAAAATCTCTAAAATACAGGGGTTGCGTTTCTTTTTTGACAGAGTTTATATCTGTTTTTAGTGCTGCAGGCCAAAGCGGGTAAGGGCTATCTACCTCCAAACTAATTTGTCAGAATAATTCACGAAAAGAGTTTGATTGGACATACATTATTTTTTCACATAAAAGTGCTAAATAAATTCTTAGCATTTGAAATAAAAATAATTCCACTTTGGTATTATTTGTCTCAAATTTTTGTTTAAGAATCTGCCATCAAACAAAGTGGGAAATCACAATATGTATATGAAAATCATATATAAGACATGATCAAAAATATATAGAGACATGATCAATCGAACCCGGGTTTTCAGCGAGACGAGCGAACGCTTTAACCACTAGGCTACCCCCATCGTCCCTCGCATATTACAGATTTATTACCTGAATAGATCAGCTGAATACATTTGAAAATGTTTCTCTGTATTTCCAGTAGCCTCTTCACTACCCGTGGGGTCTTATGGCGGCAACTTCATGGAGATCGCCCCTACAGGGGGCCAGTACGGCAGGCAGGAAAACGTGGTCTACCAGGACGACATGTACTCCACCGGCACGGGCTTCACCAGCTTCGGCAAAACCTACCTCACAGCGGCGCCATTCAGATAGTGCGTGGACAGACACGGTGGTGTGTCTGGACCGCGGGTGTTGACAGTTCAGATAGTGCGCGGATAGTTAAGATGGTGTGTCTGGACCGCGGGTGTTGACAGTTCAGATAGTGCACGGATAGTTAGGATGGCGTGTACTTACACCTCACATGTTCACATGTGTGGATAGGCGATGCGTCGTGTCAAGACGACGGGTGCTGACAGTTTGGAATAGTGTGTGGACAGTTTACATGGCGTGTATACACGGCGTGTTGACAAATGAGAACTGAGAATATTGTGTCGACAGACGCAGGGGCATGTCCAGACCGCAGCAGCTGAGTTTGGGTGTCTAGGTGGCAGGTGTTGACAGACAAAAATGGTGCATGGACAATTAAAATGGGTTCCCTTCACAGAAGATGTTGACAAATGAGACTGGAGAATACTGTGTGGACAGACGCAGGGGCGTCTCTAGTTCTCTGCAGTTGAGTTTGGTTGTCTTGACCGCAGGTGTTGACAGTTGAAAATGGTGCGTGGACAATCATCTACACTGCACATGTTGACACTTCAGAATAGTGCGTGGACAGGCGGAGTAGTGTGTCTCAACCCCAGATGTTGACAGTAGAGAAACGTTCGTGTGTGACTCGAGTCCTCACGATGCCATGTGGTGTGATGTTGACACTTGAGAATAGTTTATGGACAGACGGAGTAGTGTGTCTCAACCCCAAATGTTGACAGTTGAAAAACGCTCGTGTAAGTAGATGAGACTCGAGTCTCCACGGTGTGGTGTGGTGTGATGTTGACAGTTGAGAATAGTTTATGGACACACGGAGTGGTGTGTCAAGAAGTCAAATGTTGACACAACTCTTGACTCTACGTATTGACATGAGTCTAGCCTACAGGTGTGAAACCGTGCAGGACTCATGTCTTGACAACATGTGTGGAACCGTGCATGACACGTCTTGACAACAGGTGTGAAACCGTGCAGGACCCATGTCTTGAAAACAGGTGTGGAACCATGCAGGACCCATGTCTTGATAACAGGTGTGAAACCGTGCAGGACCCATGTCTTGACAACATGTGTGGAACCGTGCAGGGCTCATGTCTTGACAACAGGTGTGAAACCGTGCAGGACCCATGTCTTGACAACAGGTGTGGAACCGTGCAGGACTCATGTCTTGACAACAACCGTATTGACATTTGTGAAGGCGCAAGTCAGGGTAGTGTTGGTCTGCTATTCCTAGACCGTACACATGTTGGTGCCACCTAGACAGGTGTAAAATTTTGTGACATTGTACGTCCGTTCTGGCAGTGAGGATTCTCACAGTGTTGTTATTACGACAACATGATCAGACGCTCTCTAACCCTCTTTCATCACTGATGCTCATGCTGTTGATCACTGGATTCTCTGGTCCAGACTCGATTATTTACAGACCGCCGACATACAGCTGGAATATTGCTGAGTGCGGCGTTAAACAACAAACAGTCAATCTTACATCACTGGTACCCCAACGCACACTGGTACCCCACCGCACACTGGTATTCCCGCTCGGCTGAATGGTAACAATACAGTCACGGAGAGAGTTGAGTAACTTGAGTTCCCACCTAGGCTCGATCGTAGGCTAATTGTAGCGCAAACAGGGTTGCGCAACAAAGAGAAAATGACCAGTCTCGCTTTGCTCGCATATACGAAGACTGGTCATTTTCTCTTTGTTGCGCAACCCTGTTTGCGCTACAGTTTGCCCGTGGCTCGATATACGTTACTAACGATCATACAGATTTATTGGAAAGTAATGAAACCCTCCTCTCACACGCCCTGCTTTAGTGCAAACGCGGGGACTCATCCCAACAGCTGTTCCCGGGGCCCACTTCGACCTTTAATAGCTTGATACTGTCACCAATAGTTTGGTGGTTGTCAGGAACAATGACGCACAGCGTTAAAATACTATCTGATTGAGCATTCATCACAGCTGGCTATCATAACCAGCGATGTTTATGTTTTTCAAACGACCTGGGACCCCATCCACAAACCTCCATGTATGATAAGATGTTGTGCGTACTGAACTCGAAAATAATTCAAAGTTGGGGACACATTTGACAAATGGTAATTTTTCAATGCAGACATGAAATGCCTTGGACTCACTACAGTGACATCTCGTGAATCTTGACCAGACCATCTTCTCAGAAATCGTGCGGAATAACAAAGTGACCAGTCGTGGAGTGATACCTGTCAGATTCCCAGTATATCATCCGTAAGGCAGGTTTTCCGAACTGTCGCGCTCCAATCTAACCAGGTGTTATGGTATATGTATTTTAACACATGGCTTCACAGCTGTTACATCGGTGTCTTGAAATTAACATCGTCACGATGTCACTTGATAAATGCTCTTCCAGCACATACCTGTCTGTTTGTGACATTCCAGTCAAAACACTGAATTTGACCTTGTTTCAGAGAGTGGGTATGGTTTTAACTACGTTCGAGGAGGGGCGAGACACGTCAGAAATTGGTTTAACTTAAAACTTTCATAAATTTTTAAAAGAAATTGACCTTCAGTCAACTAAACTGTGAAACAATTAGATGACGTGTTCATCTGATTATCTTACATATCGGGTTATTCGAATATTTGAAATCCCAGTAGGGAGGAACTAGGATTTTGAATAATATTCTCTTGACACAAATGTTACTGTATATTTATTTTCAGATTTCCATACAATAAGTCGTTCAGCCTACACGCTGGACGTTGTGAAAATAGTGTGTGGATCATTCTTTCAGAGAATACAAAGTACATGTGGAAGCGTTAGCTGAGCGCTCAAGGGTACATCTTGCTAACATAGTGAACGCTATGTATCTAAGCTAGGGTACATCTGCAATGTTTCTGGTGCATGTGCTGTCATAGGAATGGGGCTAATTTGGTGTATTTGAGCTGTATGCGGCCTTATTTCACAAACTGACTAAAAATGGACATTCGTCAATACAACAGTGGGCGTTTTCACGAGTCATAGAGTCAACAAAAGTATTGACGACCCTGCGACGTATGATTGTGTCAAGAACCCGAAGAACGTGGACACTCGGACTGACAGAAGGATGCTACGATCTACTATTCCTGTTTGATCCAGAAAGCTGCACTAGAAAGACTGTGTTGTTAACACTTGTCTTGGGTGTACCTGTACAATACCCGAGTCATGCGACTTGCCCGAGACTCTCCCCATGTTCTTGCCAGAATGGATGAGTAATGTCGTGTTATCTGAGAACGAGATATATGGAATGACCTTCTCCCAATGGCAAATGCATGTTGTTTGTTGTGATCATATTACCCAGTGTTTCATGTGTCAGGTTCTGTATATTTGTACTAGGTATTTATATTTGTAAAGGATTCCAAGCCACCCATGGATTCCTAAATAAAAAAATAAGCAATTATAATATGATTGATTTTTTTGTAGCTGTTTGATGAGTAGAGTAGTTATCGCTGCTTTCGGGAACTCCGGTGACTGTTTGAGAAGTTCAAGTAAAAAACTATTAATTATAATACCTTGTAGGAAACGGTCACACTCAGGTGGTAACAAAAATGTACAGTTTGAGGTGCGCTGTGCCCGAGGCCTATTCCTAAGCAAACACAATACCGTAGTTAGACGTTACGTCTTTGGCTGTAAAGACACTTCGCGATGTTACGGCTGGAGTCTGTTGTCAGACTCTCACCCAGCATATGGCATACAGTCATCCAGGGTACTCAACAGCACAACCGTCGATCTTCTCCTTGAAATGAGGTCCTATTGTTCTCAGGATTTTCATATCCAAGACTGACTGACTGACTGAGTTTGGTTTTACACCGCTTTTAGCAATATTCCAGCAATATCACGGCGGGGGACACCAGAAATGGGCTTCACTCATTGTACCCATGTGGGGATTCGAACCCAGGTCTTCGGCGTGACGAGCCAACGCTTTAACCACTAGGCTACCCCACCGCCCCTTATCCATAAAGAACTGGATCGTAACTGTTGGTGACTTGTAGATGAGGTGACTAAGATGATCTGACCAATCTGCCAGCCCAGGTCTTGCTGGAGGGGCTGAGTCTTACAATCAACATCAAAACAAAGACCAAGTCACGTGAATAATTGTTTATCACAGCAGATGATATTGGTGAAAACACATCTATTTACATATAGCTTTATTCATTGTGTGATATCAGATACTGAAATATGAAAGCATGTGATGAATAGAATACAAAAATGAGACAAATATGGACCCATTTTCACTAAGTACCAAAACAACATTTCCTAGGCTCCAAGATTCTAAATACGTCTCTGTGTACTATCACCGGGGAATATCCTGGCTACTGACTTTTAGTGAATAAGTTTGGTTCAATGCACTTTGAATAGTGAGTGAGTTTAGTTTTACGCTGCTTTTAGCAATATTTCAGCAATATCACAAGGGTATTTTGAACAGTGCCCCAGTTAGGTCGGGGAGAGTTAGATTGATGTTTGAGGCAAGCTGGACCTTTTACGTTTACCATTTTGGTGAATGTCACGAGCATGAGCATGGTACTTAGAAACCTAGATGCATAATCATGGTGTACCAGGACTGGAACCCATGATCATGAGATTCTGGTGAAGCTAAGGGAAGTAACTCTGCACAGCAAGTTTGATCTCTTTAGACTCCACTCTTCCATCTACTGAGTTAAAGTACACCACATATATGCTAGGCCTGTCATGCATCTAAGTATTGCCCATTTACATGTCAGGTCTAAATCTTGCCCTACAAAATCTTGCTACACTGTTCCTTTGACTATCAGTGTTAAATCAGTGAAAGGAAGGGTGTGATATAAGAACACATGGGGCCCAAAACAATTGCATAACTGAAGAAATCAGGATTCTGTCCTAACAGTTATCAGATGAATTCAAATATTGTACAGACTTATTTTGTATTACATTAACATACTCTGGACATAAAACCATGATTTTACCTACTAGGAGTCTCGACCTAACCTACTTGGAGACCAGAGAACCACAAATGGCTATTTTCAGTACTGCTTACTGGGAATAGGAGGGTCCTGTAAAGTAATGGAATGGTGTAGCAGACTGATTAATAATTACTTTAATTGCTGGAACTTCTTATGTTTTGTCAAGAATCTGTATAACAATGAATATTTTCATGCATCCTTCATGGCATGATATATGTCTTTGTCTGAGTCCTTTCTCTACATTTCTGCTTACTGGACACACATCTCTGTTGTGTTAAACCCTGCATAGAACATCAAATAATGTAGATCTAATGCTCAAATATGTCCAAAAATGATACTATGGTTCCAAGAATCATTTCCAGTTATAAGAACATCTGTCTGTGTATGTGACATGGCACACATGGGGTGTACAATGACTGATTGATGAAAACATAGCTTTTCAGCCTGGTTTGGATCTATTTTTGTTCATCACAAATTTGCAGGAGATATAGAAAAGAGGAGCATTTACTAGTATGAATGCATTATGTCCAGTAACTGTCATAGTATTCCTCATTTCCTGTCACTTCAAAATATGCTATTTCTATAGGGCTAAAGGAGCTGTTACTATACCTTGTTGTTCAACTGGTGATTTGTGGATGAAGCTTGTTGTACAATATAACAATGCATGGAAGCATAATGAAATAATAACAACATAGCAATAATATATATTTGCTGTACATACAGCAACAGTGAGATAATCTGTGAAAATAATAAACTCTCTAAGAACAGCCATTTTTACAGAAGTCAAAACTATGCTAGTGCAGATAATTTGCTTGTTAATGCTTCAATCACAAATACATGTACTACAGCTGTATGATGGTGACCTTTGTAGTTCTACAGGTAACCTTTTCTCGTAATTATTCATGGACTATGTGAGGTCATCGCATCATTAATCTGGCCTTTATCTTCTAATCCTTTATAAGTCTTCTTGTAGAACATATGTACTTTCGGTATTGAATTGTAAAATACACTAAACTTGGTTTGGCAAGTCCATGAATTATGCAAAATTCACTCAGATGTACCAGTCCTGTAAAACCTTGCATCCAAGTCACTTAAGCAAACATGAACATCAAATTGGTTACAACTACAAATATCAATTAACTGATCTCAAAGTCAAACAATTTCACTATCCTGTATCCATTATGCTTGTGAATATATATGGTACTTGTATTCATCAACACTTAATTCTACTACAGTTTGAACTAGATGTTCTATGGGCCAATAATATACATTTTGTACAAACTATTTTATCACATTACAACTCGCAAATTATCATCACCTTATCAGTTCAATGTTTATGATCAATTGTTCTGTATGTCACAACAGGGCTTAGGTCAACAGTCAATCTTCAGTAGTGATTCCAAGTTAAAAACAAAAGTTAATAGAATTTTGGAAAACAAGATGGCAGCCCCAGGAAACACAGCTGTAAGTTTTTTTGTCATCCTTCTGGAATCTTTAATCAAAGTTCCTGAAAAGCATCTACCTGGGGTAAAGGTATAAGAACAGGTTGGGTGTAGACTTTGCAAATATGTAGCCAGAAGGAGATGTGGAAGCAGGTTGTAAATCCTACTCCCTACACTGGCAGAGTTTTCAAATGAGTCTTGTAGTGACACACAGACAACAGACATTAAACAGGGAATGGATGAA